GTCTTGATGGCCCAAAACACAGTGAAGCCGTTTCCATCTTTCCTGGTCAAACTATGGCTTTACAACAGTGTGCAAACTTCCCTCTCCTCATTCAGACGGCTTGCCGCAACCACTAGAGTGGTGTGCAGCTGTTAAGCCCACCTCCTTTTGCACATGACAATACAAACAACACTGCTTCCCTCCCGAAAGTGGAGTGCAGTGCGCAAAAGAGACACGTGGGTTGATGCTGAGTCAAGCGTGAGTCAGCAGATAAAGCTTTAGTAGTTAGCAAACAATGACAGCACCCAGCGCCTGTTTTAATAAGTATGGGCTTCCTGGAACTTCAGAAGGAACATCGCTTTAATTTTCCAGGTTGGATATTCTTGGTTTTTAATTGATTTATTTAAGTATCCCTCTTCCCTGGAAAAGTCCATGAGCTCTTTGTGTAAAAGAAATCATACAGTTTCATAGGGCATTCAAACAACACCCAACAGTTAAAAACACTATTCAGACGGTGCAGTTGGGGCTGTGTTTGCACAGCTCACTTAACTTGGTTACTGAGTTATCCCCTTTCTGGGTTTGGGCAATAATTAGTGAAGGCAGGCTGGGTTCTCACAATCTGCTAACCAGTAAAGGTATTGACCAATGTTACAACTAAACAATCATGAATATAGGTACTCCTCGACTTAACAACAGTTTGTTTAGTGACCATTCAAAGTTACAACGGCACTGAAAAAAGCGACATGGCCATTTTTCACAGTTAACAGCCTTTGTAGCATCCCCGTGATCGTGTGAACAAAATTCAGACCAATCAATCAGAATAGAGCTGGAAGGGACCTTGGAGGTCTTCTAGTCCAGCCCCCTGCTCAAGCAGGAGTCCCTATCCAGGGGTAGGCAACCTTGGCTCTTTTACGACTCGTGGACTTCAACTCCCAGAATTGACTCCCACTCCCATTTTGTGTGTCCTGAATACTTTCCATGTTATGACCAGGGTGATAAATCATGTTTTAGGAAGAATTTGGGGTTTGGGGTTTTGGTACAGCTGTACCACAGCTTGCAGAGGAAAGAGGGTGGCTGTTAAATGTGGACGTCCTGTCCTGAAATCAAGACTGACCCTGTTTAGCAAAGCTTTTGCTGCATAGCTCTGGGAATAAGCGTGAAGATCCTTGGCAACATCAGCCAACACGCAATGTAAACCTGTGGCTTGAGGGGAGTGTTTGGAGATTAACGACTAGGAATTTGATTGGATAATGGTTAGCTAGCATTTTTGGCATGCACCTCTCCAGAAGATACAGAAAGTTCTTGAAAACCGATTCAAAACATGCTCAAGGAGAAGGCGAGAGCAAGGAGGGAGAAAGGACTTGATTTTCTTATCAGGAGAGGCCCACCAGCCACCTTACAGAAAACTCTGGTTTATCTGCTCCACAAGGATGAGATTCTGTCTTAAAAGTTCAGACTCTCCTTGGCAAACAAGAAAAGGAGGAAGATAGCTGTGGAATGAATGAAATCAAACCCAAACAAATCACCCAAGACGGCACTGTCATAGGCCTAAAGATATTTACTCATGTAGTAGGCTGTATTGCTATTATCTTTCTCATCTTCTCATCTTTCCTACTATCTTCTCCTATCCTAATGATTTATCATTTGCTGGTATCTTATGATTAATGATTGTAACCATGATTTATGATTTATGACCTATCATTTGTTGTTTGTAGTACACTGAGAGCTTAGGCACCAGAGACAAATTGCTTGTGTATCCAATCACACTTGGCCAATAAAGAATTCTATATTCTACTCTACTCTACTCTGTTCTATTCTATTCTATTCTATTCTATTCTATTCTATTCTATTCTTTCTATTCTATTCTATTCTATTCCTTATTTCTATTCTATTCTATTCTATTCTATTCTATTCTATTCTATTCTATTCTATTCTATTCTATTCTATTCTATTCTATTCTACATAAAGAGAACTTACATTGCTCTCAAAGCTAAACTCATTTGGTCTCTTTCTCCTGCTGACCAAACTCCTCAAACCTCCAAGATAACTTTAGGTGCCCCGATCCCCATGTGCAAAATTAGAAGGGGGAGGGCTGATATTTTTTTTTTTTTTCTTTTTTTTCTTTTTTGTGGAACTTCGTGTCCTTGTCGATGTACTGAGTCCATATTCTTTCTTCAAGTCTCTTTTTCAACTTAGAAAACACCCACCAACGTTGTCAAACACGACTGTTTTTGCATGTCGACTCAACTTTTCCGTGGATGTTAACACCTGAATACTTGTGTTACCTCAGGGTGTAAAGGCAACGTAAGCAAGACCGTTGTTAAGTGAATTTTATGACCTTTCTTGCCACAGTTGTTAAGTGAATCGCTGCAGTTGTTAAGTTAGTAACACGGTTGTTAAGTGAATCTGCCTTCCCCATTGACTTGGTTTGTCAGAAGGTTGCAAAAGGGGATCACGTGACCCTGGGACACTGCAACCGTCATAAGTACATGCCAGTTGCCAAGCAATCTGAATTTTGATCACATGACCATGGGGATGTTGCAGTGGTCACAAGTATGAAAAACGATCATATGGCACTTTTTTCAGTGCCGTTGTAACTTCAAACTGTCACTAAACAAGTAGTTGCCAGTGAAGGACTGTTTGTATTAGCATTCAGCACAGGTGGTTCGCTCTAAAAAGGAGTAGATTCAGGATTCTCCATGTTTCTCAACCTTCCATAATGTTTTTCCTCCACTTCTCATTTTGCATGTCCGAAAAAATATGTGGCGGGATATTTACACCCTAAAACTTCACCTGAAAGGACCTCAAGCTGAGGTAAATATATCTTGGATCACAAATCAGAATTTTCCCCCTTATGGTAAAAGTCCTAATTCAACCAATTTCCCTCTACAGGATGCCAGGAAAGGTTTAAAAGCCTGGGGGAGAAAGGGCTAGCCACCTATCCAGTGGGCCACCAAGTCAAAACATGGCTTACTTTAGCCCAGAAATGTCCAATCTTGGCCACTTTTAAGACTTGTGGACTTCAACTCCCAGAATTCCCTGGCCAGCAAATAAATATTGTACTCTAGTAGTGGGCAACCAGGGTGTTTAATTTATAGCTGGAGTGCATAATTCATTTAATCAAATTAAAGAATTAGCTAAAGTTATACGACATGTTGATTAGCTTTTAGTTTTTAAATGTTTATTTTTCTGTCAAGTCAGTATTGACTTTTTGTGACTGCCTGGACCTGTTCCTGCACTTTTTATGCCAAGATTTCTGGAAGTGGTTGATCCTGGTTGCCGTCTTGTTAACTCTTGAGTGGGAGTGACTGGCCCGTAATCATTCATCTGGTTTCATGCCTACGGGAGGATTAGAATTCACCGCCTCCTGCTTTCCAGACTAGTGCCTTAAGTAACCGCTACTCCAAACTGGCTCTCAAATTATGCAAAGGCACCCTGACAAAAAGATAAGCTCAGATATGCGAATCCAGCATAATCCTAGTAGGTGGCTTTCTTTCTTTCTCACAGGATACTCAAAGTAGGTCACCTTAGCATCCCAGTTAGGCCTGATTGGAACCAGAAAGAGCAACAAATTTGCTTGAAAAGTCAGAATCTTGTCAGGTTTTCGTGTTGTCCGTTTGCTGTAGAGAATATTGCTTTTTTTTTTTTTCCAAAGGGAAATTGCCATGCTGGAAAATAAAATGGAATCTTCTCACTTCTTTTCCCATGGAACCTCTGGGCCCACCTATAACTGACAGGCATTTTTAGGAGATCAAGAATGGGATTTAGAAGAGCAGCCTGCCTAAGGGAGAAGACTAAGATGATGTTCTGGGCTTCAAGAGGTATCTTGGAATCCATTCACTACGATTCACCTTCTGGTAAATTTGGTTTGTAATGGGCATCCCTGACATAAACAGGACCCATAGGAAGGTGGGTCAGAACAAGTCAAGATGGTGGCTACCACTGTGCTTGAGGCCTCTTCCCTTCACGTGCCTCACAACACACATAAAAAAGGGACTGAGCTCCAATCTCATGGTTGTGCCCATTATCTTGACTTTTTTTGACCTCCAACAGACACCCCTCCCCTTGACTGACACCCAGGAGCCCAGTCCAGTTCCACCCTCCTGCCATCCTATTGTCAAAATTCCAGGTGTGCCATTAATTGAATAAGTATTGCTCTCACGTTCCAAAAACCAAAAAAGACACACTGAGTTACTCCAGTTTCTTTTATGGTTCCTCACTTATGGACAGACATCTTGTCAAATCGAAGAATTGATGTTTTCAAATAGTGGTTGTTGGAGAAGATTCTTGCGAACCCCTTGGACTGCAAGGAGATCAAATCAGTCAATCTTGAAGGAAATCAACCCTGACTGTTCTTTGGAAGGACAGATCCAGAAGCTGAAAGTCAAATACCAAATGAGAAGACTCCTTGGAAAAGACCCTGATGTTGGGGAAGATGTAAAGCAAAAGGAGAAGAGGATGGCACAGGATGAGATGGTTAGATGGTGTCGTCAACACAAGGAAAATGAATTTGGGCAAACTCTGGGAGACAGTGGAAGAGGGGGGTGGGGTGGGGGGCTGGCATGCTATGGTCCATGGGATCACGAAGGGCTGGGCATGACTTAGTAACTGAACAACAACAACAACAAATGGAGAAGGAAGAGCTCCTTAACTTTGGAAATTATTAGCCTTATAGTTTTGGTAACAACTCTTTCAATGCATCCCCATCAGTATTTCTATCCATGAAGGCATCTAATCGAGAACAGAGAATAATAGGGTTGGAAAGAGACCTTTCTACCAATGCACCATGTTGCTTACTTGAAATAAAGCCAGTGGACACATTTTAGCTATTTAAAATCATTTTATTTTTAAACTGGAGTTAGTACCTTGCAATCGGTTGCCAAAAATTCTGATATCTGAAATATAGCCGTAATAGAACTTCATTGAAGAGCAGATTCCTAACGAATACAGCATCTTGCACCTATTAATGCCTCCTGCAGGTCCCTTGGCAAAGGCAAATGCCAAAACACCACAAACATTCCTTATATACACACATGGCTTTATTACTGTCAGCGTCGTTTACGTTCACAACTAACGGCGAGAGAGCACGCAATAGCAAAAATATAACCGGACATGAACATTACATTTCTGCAGGCAAATATACAGATTTCAAGACTGCCGGAGCCAGCCTCTCTTTACTTGCAGCAGCTGCATTTAGTGGCAGGGGGGCCTTTGCAAATACAGCCCTGGGCACACTTGGCACAGCCCACTGGGCAACAGGAACAGCAGCCTGAAAAGAGAATGGGAAAACTTTAGCCTCTTTTAAACACAGAGAATTCTTAAACCGAACATTCAGTTTAATTCAGAGACTTTTCTCTGAGGTTGGAAGAACAAAAGAGATTTTTTAAAAAAAGAACTTTGTTTTTATATGTGACAACAGCAGCATGCTGTATGCACAGAGATAGAAGACCATAGAATAATAGGATTGGAAGGGACTTTGGAGGTCTTCTATTTAAACCAACCTCCTGCTCAAGCAAAAGATCTTACACAAGGATGGAGCAACCACAACTTCTGAAGGCAGGTGGTTCCACTGGTTAATTGTTCTCACTGTCAGGAAGTTTCTCCTTAATTCCAGGTTGCTTCTCTCCTTGATTAGTTTCCATCCCTTGCTTCTTGTCCTGCCTTCAGGGGCTTCGGAGAATAGGTTGACCCCCCTCTTCTCTGTGGCAGCCCCTCAAATATTGGAAGATTGCTATCATTGCTCTTTTTTTTTTTTGAACTAGACATATCTTTCACATATATCCACAAGGGGAGATTGTCAGAGATGACAAAATTGACTGCTTTGATTTAAAAGAAAGACTTTATCCGGCTTCATTTCTACTTGGAAACCTCTCTTAGATTATTATTATTATTATTTTTTGTTTGACACTGAAATGCAATTTTAACCTTCCTTTCTTGATGGTTAGATTTGTTCACGGTGATAGAAGTCCTGCTCGTTATGATTTATTCTAGTTCAAAGGGTTATTGAGTTTTAGATTTTTTTTATCTGTATCAAAGAAAGTCAAAAGTTTCTTTTTTCTATAGCTTTTATACCTTTGTAATCTTTTTTTTAGCAGTATAGCTTTTAAAGCACTAAGCTTTAGCTCTGTAGCTTTTTTCTACAGTTCCCCGATATTGCTTTTCCCCTACTCCTTTCTCCCTCTTTTTAATTCTTTTTTTCTCTTAAAAGTATTTAGATGAAAAAAAACTTTAAATTATTGTAAAACTTCTTTTTTTTTCTCCTTTCATAGTTGGAGGATAGGGTCGAGTTCACCTTTTTCTATAGACTTACTTCTCCATCTCTACGACCTAAGTGTCTGCAATTCGGGTTTGGTATACTACAAACTTGGTTGCAACATGGCAAATCCAAACTGCCAGACACTTAGACCCGTAGATGAAAAAAGCACATTCCACATAGGAACTTTTTTTTACCTCTTGGCTGGCTCAGGAATTCTGGGAGTTGAAGTCCACGAGTCATAAAAGAGCCAAGGTTGCCTACCCCTGCTCTATTAGATAGCTCAGGGTCTCCAAATCTGATGAAGTTAAGACTTGTAGACTTCAACTCCCAGAATTCCCTAGCCAGCCATTCCCCAGCCAGGATGTAATTGGATCCTATCCATTCACAGGACATTTAATCAGGAAGAAAAAGTGTCCACATTTGTGCCATGGGCTAATAAGTCTGGCATTAACCGTAGTTAAGTATTTAGCAGTAAAGACCACACATGCTCCATTGGGTTAGTTTATGATTCATCCCATCTAAAACAATTTCATTCAGCAATTAAATTAAGCAGCATAATTTAATAACCAGCAATGAAAAGTTGACAGTTTGCCTTTTTTCTTTAAGTAACAGGTTGTTCGCAATTTGGGTATTTGAGTTAGATCATTTTGGAACATACACAAGGCAAAAAGTCTTGGTACGTTGTTGGAACGGTTGGGTGCCCCGTACAGTGCAGATTCGGTTAAACTGAATAAATGATGGGTTACTGGCAAGGATGTCGTGTGAATGCAAGCTGCGCGCATCGTTAAGAAACACAAGAGGCCACCCGTTGAAAGGAGAGAAGATGAAACATTTCGGAATACAGTACTCACTTTTCCTGCAGGATTTGCATTTACAATTTTTACACTGACAGTTGTTGCCGCAGGAGCAGACGCCACCTGCAAAAAAAAAAGGAAGAAAACGATCACCTTCGGAGGCACAAGCAAGACAAAAGGTCACTTTCAAGCACAAACCCGCTTCCCAGCCTTGGCAAGGAACCCCCCCCCCAAGTCAACCCAAGGAGGATTGGAAGGGAGGCTCTGCTTCGCCCAAGCAAGGATGCCCTCGGTGGCTTCTTCACGGGCCCCTAGCTGGCCCTTGGCTACAGCACCCCAAAGTCTGAAAAGAGATGGAAGAAGCAGCAAAGGGAACTTCTGGTTGAGTCCCGGGGCTAAGAGTGCCGCATCTGGAATGTGAGAACGCAGCCACCCCCTCCCCAAGGAAAGCTGGACCCACGAGGGAGAGGCAGCCCCAGAAAGGGGAGCCCGCGTCTCTGTCTCTCTCTTTCTCTTTCTTCCTTTCTCCCTTTTTTCTTTCTTTTTCTCTTTTTCCTTTCTTTCTGTTTTTTTCTTTCTGTTTTTTTCTTTCTCTTTTTCTCTTCTGTTTTTCTTTCTCTCTCTCTTTGTCCCCCTTTTTCTTTCTCTTTTTCTCTTTCTTTTTCCCTCTCTTTTTCTCTTTCTTTTTCTTTCTCTGTTTTTCTTTTTCTTTCTCTCTCTCTTTTTCTCTCTCTTTTTCTTTCTTTCTTTCTCTTTTTCTCATCTTTTTTCCATTTTTTTTCTTTTTCTTTTTCTTTTCTTTCTCTCTCTCTTTGTCCCCCTTTTTCTTTCTCTTTCTCTTTTTCTTTCTCTCTTTCTCTTTCTTTCCCTCTCTCTTTTTCTTTCTCTCTCTCTCTCTCTCTTTCCCCTTTTCTCTCTCCCTCTCTCTTTTTCTCTTTCTTTCCCTCTCTCTTTTTCTTTCTCTCTCTCTCTCTCTCTTTTCCCCTTTTCTCTCTCTTTCTTTTTCTCTTTCTTCCCCCCCCCCTCTCTCTCTCTCTCTCTTTTCCCCTTTTCTCTCTCTCTCTTTCTTTTTCTCTCCTTCTCTCCCTCTCTCTTTCTTTGTCTCTCCCCCTCTTTCTCTCCAAGCCAGGGCAGAAGGGGTGGCGGGGAAGCCAGGCGGAGCCGCACCGCTGAAGCACGAGCAGTCTTCGGAATCCATGCGGGCGCTTTGGGGTCTCCGGGCTCCGGTTGGCGCAAAGAGAGAGAGAGAGAGAGAGAGAGACTCAGGCCAAGAGGCGCATCCAGTGAAGGCGGAGAGCCGCGCACGGCCGCTATTTATTTCCCGCGGGGCGGCGGGTGCAAAAGGCGCCCCGCCCGGTGCACACGGAGCCCGGCGCCCGCCCCAAAAGCCCAGCCGTCGCGGCTCGCCCGGCTGGGAAGCGGAGCGCCTTGCCCTCGGGCCACGGATGCACCTGCCGCGCACGGGCGCCGGGCTCGGGCTCCGCGCTTCCCCCAGGGAGGACCCCAACCCGGACGGACGGACAGACCTGGGGGTGGGAGAGGGAGGGAGGGAGGGGGTAAAGCAGCACCTCTGCCCACCCCCAGACCCCCCCCCCCGCCTCCAGGCGCTTCTGGACCCTTGCAAAGGAGCCCGGAGGGGCCCCCGGGCGATGCCACAACACCACGAAGTCTTGAATGAGCCGGGATCTGGCTAATTAGGGAGTTTATTCCAGCTTGGAAGTTTTGGGGAGAATAGTGTCTGGGCGCGTGCAGAGCGCTGCTGAAATTAGACAAGCGGGAGGTATGAGGGAGAGCCGGGTTCTCCGTTCTTTGGCGCTCCCCCCAGCTTTCCAGGTCGGCTTTTAATGTTATGGATCTCTTTCACACACACACACACACCCCAATCAAAACTCTACAGGACGAGACGCGTTTGAATATTAGTAGCTCGGTGGTTGGGGCTGTTGGTTTTGATCCCCGAGCTTGGCGTCTGCAGCCAAATCGCCCACCTCGGAGACCAAAGCAACAGCCCGACTAACTACTATACCAGGGGTCTTCAACCTTGGCCACTTTTAAGACTTGTGGACTTCAACTCCCAGAATTCCTTAGCCAGGCCTGGGAGTTTGAAATGGCCAAGTTTGAAGACCCCTGAACTATACAGTATATTTCAGTGGTTCTCAACCTTTTTAATGCCGCGACCCCAACCGGTCGTAAGTCGAGGACTAAACCGGTCGTAAGTCGAGGACTACCCAACCGGTCGTAAGTTGAGGACTTTCCCTGCCCGGGAGCGCCGCGCATGCGTGGTTCCGCCCCCTGCGCCGGCCGAGGCGTAGCTGGCAAGCGGCAGAGACAGAGCAGGCCGACCACCAGCTGGCCCAGCCCAAGGGAGGTAAGGCACCCGCCGGAAAAGGGGGAAAAATGGCGGACAAAAAAAATGGCGGACACCCTTGCTCGGCGACCCCCGTGAAATGGTCGATCGACCCCAAATGGGGTCCCGACCCACAGGTTGAGAACCACTGGTATATTTCATAAGATTTTAGCGCAACGAGTGACTTCAACTTGGCCACTTTAAGACTTGTGGACTTCAACTCCCAGAATTCCTGGGAGTTGATCATTTTCCCAGACAAATGAATATAAGGTTGCAGGAATGTCATCCACTGCTATTAAATTATCTTAACGGTTCAAAGAGGCCACAGCCCTAATCCTACGACGTGCTAAGATAAGATTTCTCTAACAATGATTCCTTTCTCTGTCTGCTCAACCACTTATCTGGTCTGCAGGAATTGTCTGGGACGCTGCACATCCTCTCCCATGACCTGTTTTCCTTGTTACCTTCTGGGGGGTGGGGCTCAGACCAGATGCTTGGACCCCCAAGAAAGCTGGTGGATGCTTAGCCATCGAGGAGTGATGTCGTGTTATCACGCAAATTATATAGTTTGCATCATTGATGGAATATGCTCTTATGACACACTTCATTCATCTATTTGATTTTTTTTTATCCTGCCTTTATTACTATAGCTCAAGATGGCAGACATGCCTAATCTTCCTTCTCCTGTTTTCCCCACAACAGGGCTGGGCTGAGAGAGATGGAGTGCTCCAAATTTACCCAGCTGGCTTTCATGCCTAAGGTAGGACTAGAACTCACTGTCTCCTGGTTTCTAGGCCAGCACCTTAACCCGTAGACCAAACGCCATCATGGCTACAGTCTTTTCTTTGTGTGAGCTGCCCTGTAACTGTCATTCTCTTGGTTAGGTAGATTGCAAGCATAATCTACAAGTGAAAAGGTTGAGGGATACTGATCCAAGCTGAAAGAAATAGAACCACTTCTATGTTTCCAGCAGAAAAGTTAGAAAAAAGCAGAGGCAAACCCAAGGGTGTCTGCAGGATACAGTCAAAAAAGGAAAAGATAGCAGCCCCGACAGTATTTTGGAAAGCTTTTGGACCAATTCTATATTGCCACACACACAAAAAATCATACAGTGTCCCTTACCATGAAGTGAACACGAGAGGATATTTATTTATCCATCACATCTAGAGAGCACCAAGTTGGGAAAGATGTTGGAAGAAGAGCCTGATGAAACTGCATTTCTGGTTCGTTATTAACCATGAGAACTACAGGCTATTAATTATCTCCTTGACTGCATAGTAATTAATAGTTAATTGTCACTGGTGCACCTCAGCACCTGCTTTGGGCCTGTCTTAGCTAGGAGAGAAGGCATTTCTGAAAATACGGCGTAGAAAGAACAAAGGAAAGGAGTTCAGAGTGTAACCATAGCTAAAATACGAGGGCAATTCGGAAATAAACCTCCATTTGGTTATCAATGACAGACACTTGCAGATACAGAACTTTTATTATTTATACGCATTAGAAAACTACAACATGATATGACTTTTTGACATCATCGCCATTCCAATTGAGGCCCTTGTCATAATGTCTTACAAGGTCTGAAATCCCTTAGTAGTTGTTGCGTGGCGCCAAATCTGGGCTATGGGGGTGTGTGTGATCAAAAACATCCCGAGCCTTGACGAAGTTTTCAAGAACCCACGCAGATCGCCACACGCCCGCTCGCAATAGCACTTGGTTGTGGTGTGGCCTTCACCACGGTATTTTTTTAGGGTGGTTTACACTTCTACGGTTTCCTCATTGACGATCACCTCAAGTACCTCGCACCAAACTGGTCGTTAAGTCTTCAGATGACACTTTGCAATGCTTTTGAGAGACGAGCCATCCGTAACAAGTGTTGGGGCAGGCTGACTTCCGGTGCGGTGTTGGTTCATGATAACCGCACACTGCTAGACGCACCCAAGAATACCCAAGAATAAAATTCTTCCCTTCCCTTCCCTTGGCAGGTGGAAACATTTCCGTGCGAAGCATTATGTTTTAACCATTCACCCTTCATATTTTCTAAAATACCAATGAGACATCTTTCTAAACTTGAGGGTAGAGCTAAAACCTTGTTTTGAAGAATAACAGCCTTTTTTGTATATTAATAATAATAAAAAAACAGCCTTAGGGTTTCAAGGAGAAACGTCATGAACCGTGATTTTTTCTTTTCTGCTCTGCCAATGAAGTTTATTAAGTAATTAAAACCTCATTGGCAAATCTTCATACCAAAAATCAATTTTCCGATTGAAGTTTACATTCTGTAAACAGATCCAATGGATGACTCACTTATTTGGGGCATGAAAACAATACTCCTTATATCTGGATCCCATCCTAATTTAGAGGTTATGGGATCCAGAAGAAGAAAAATCAGGGTTGTCTTCATACTCAAAAGGCACCAACTAAATACCCTATGATCAGGGATGTTGAGACTTTGGAAAGAGTTCAGAGAAGAGCATCAAAAACGATTAGGGACCTAGAAGCTAAAACATACAAAACGATTGCAGGAATTGGGTATACCAAGTCTAGTGAAAAGAAGGACCAAGGCTGACATGATAGCAGTCTTCCAATACTTGAAGGGCTACCACAGAGAAGAAGGAGGTCAACCAGAGAGCAGGACAAGAAGGAGGTCAACCAGAGAGCAGGACAAGCACCAGAGAGCAGGACAAGAAACAATGGATGGAGACTAACCAAGGAGAGAAACAACCTAGAACTAAGGAGAAATTTCCTAACAGTGAGAACAATTAATCAGGGAACAACTTGCCTTCAGAAGTTGTGGGTGCCCCATCATTGGAGGCTTTTAAGAAGAGACTAGACAGCCATTTATCAGAAATAGTATAGGTCTCCTGCGACAGTAGGGGGTTGGACCAGATGACCTCCAAGATCCCTTCCAATTCTGTTACTGTTATTGTTGCAGTGTCAGTTTTGACTATTGAGTACAATAGAAGCAACATACATCTATATTTAAATAATGTCCTGAATCTACAGATCTAAGACATTTCGCTTCTCATTCAAGAAGCTTCTTTAGAATTCTGGGAGTTGAAGTCCACATATCTTAAATTGCCAAGGTTGAAAAACACTGCTATAGAGACTGTGCTGTGCATTAAGAAACTTTTGATCTGAATCTTGCCCCACTATGAACTTTTTCACAGGCTTCAAGGAGCAGATCTATATGAGTTGGGCTGTAAAACCAGATGGTGCCTAAATAGCCCCAAAGAGGTCCTGTTTTTCCTCTGTTGCCATCTCACAATCATCCTGACTCCTTATCAAGCAAGCTCTTTTCTTTCGGCCTCCACCTGTCCATCTACAAAAATAGTGACTTCCTTTGTATAGTCCTATGTGGAAGATGTTGGTATAAACACCTTTTCTAGGTGTTGTGCAATGACGCAAAGGCAACACAATAAAAACACAGAGATCTAGAAACATGAGAGTACAAAAGAGAGAATGACAAATGCCAATGCTTTCATTAAAGACACAGCTTTATTTGAAAGGCTGGGTTAACCTCAGGAAACGTGCCAGGAACTGTGCACCAAAGAGGAAAGGGTTTAATAGCAATAGCACTTAGACTTATATACCACTTCACAGTGCTTTTCAGCACTCTCTGGGCCGTTTACAATGTCAGCCTATTGCCCCCAACAATCTGGGTCCTCATTTTACTGACCTCGGAAGGGTGGAAGGCTGAGTCAGGCTTGAGCCGGTCAGGATCAAACTTCTGGCAGTGGGCAGAATTAGCCTGCAGTACTGCATTCCTGATTGGATTTGGACATAAAGTAAACTGCAATAAGATCCAGTTCAGGTGTAACAGGCTTTCTCAAACATCCAGATCTATTGGACTTCAGTTCCCAGAATTAGCTCCGAGGAAGCACAGATTGGGGAAGGTTGATGTGAAGTCTAAGATACATCATAAATATGCTGGCTGGGGAA